ATGAATATAAAGCTTGCTTCAGGTAGAGTCGATTCACCAGAGATTTGGTCATGTACAAACTTTCAAGTTTCGCCCATAATCCCGATGTTGTAGTCTCCTTTGATACCTGTCGAAGAACCTTATCACCAAGGCTCAACAGTATTGCGCTGTGGGCTTTCTCGATCATGCCCGTCTTTTCTTTTGCCGTTAACGCAACGTCCATGGCTGCCTCACCCTTCAACGCTTCCAAACAACCCTGTTGTACCAGTAGGGCTTTCATCTTCAAGCGCCACAGACCGAAGTCGTTCACTCCGGTGAACTTTTCAATCTCATACTTTGTTGAAGGCATCTTCTCCACGCTCACCGCACCAATTTGTTGTGAATCGGATATCTTAACAAAGTATAAACGGTTTCTTAATGATCAAGAAATACACAAGGGTTAGGGTTAGTAAAGAAGAAAACAACAAGAATTGGTTATTAAATTGTTATTCTTTCCTTTCTCTTAGAACAAGATTACAAGTATACAAGAATAACAAAATAACCTCTCTCTCTTGAAATTAGGATTTTATCTTCCTATTTTTCCTTATGCCAAGATTGAGAAACTAGTGTCCTATTTATAATAAAAATAGCACACTAACCTAATGGTTTTTTTTTAAGAATTACCCATTACAAGCTAACTTAGGGTACAAGCTAACTTAAACAATTGGACTTTCAAGCAAGGCCCAATTCAACATGCTAACAACCCTAGCAATATTGACTCATGCATGTTAGAACAAACTTCGACTACAATACGCATTACTTGCGAACAGACTTCGACCACACTAGAGTTCGATCCAACATCTCACAGATATGTTGGAGGAATTGAAAGCTCTGATTCGTGAATTACAGAAGGACAAAGAGAGATACATGTCGGAAAGACGCTGTCAAGAGGGTAAACATACTAGTGAGAAAGATAGTATCAATTGTCCGTAGAAGCTTCCAGAGGTAATTGTATATATTACATTGAAATTAATTTAGTACAATTTCCTTAATTGACACATTAATCATATTCATTATTTGTTTAGGGCATTTCACCTTGTCGGCTATATTTATCGTCACCGACTTATCGCATGGTTGGCAAGGGAAAAGTGCATAACACTTTGGAGACTTACTTCACCATAAACAGCTCCCTGCTGGATTTTTGAAAGTATCGGTTGATATTGCGTTAGAGGGGGTGCGTTGTTGCCTATACCAGGTGATGTTTCGGACGCAATAGTGGTGGAAGACGCAATAGGATCGTTTGTTGCATGGTCGTCAAATCTCATTTTCATAGATGATGAGGTAGGTTGAACACCATTATGAAGTATTCAAATGTTTTACGATCCATACATGAAAGTTATTCTTACATTTACATTTATTTATTTACATGATGATTTTAGAGTCCTATAAAATCCAAATCAAAAGAAAAGGGAATTATTATGCGGGAAACCAATTCAGCTACATCAAAAAAATAGGTACTATTACAGTTACATGATGATCTTATTATACTTTCATTACTGAATTTATATAACTTTTAGGGTCATGATCAACAGTTGCAACAAGTCAGCAAGGGTAAAATGCCTGAATCTAGCAAGGTGCCCAAAAAAAAAAGGTCGAGCCAAAAAAAGCATTTGTTCCTCGATTTAGGTTGTACCTTGAAACATATGTAGGAACAACAGATGTGGCTGAGGGTGACATCCGTCAAATACCTATGCAGGAAGGTATTTTCGGTTTTGAATATGCCGAAACAATTGCCAAGGAGGATTTGGACCAGATTTTCCAACATTCTGAACTGGGCATTGGTGTTATGCATTCCTACATCAGGTAGTACTCCGATCAATTTTAATTAAATACTTGAACAAATTATTTGCTCATTTAAATGAATATTCTAATGTTGATTATGTTTTTATTTAAGGTTATTGTATGACAAGATGTTGGTCCCGCATGGTTTGAATTCAAGATTCACATTCTTATCTATTAGCTGTATCAACGCACGGTCAACGAGCACACTCCAGATGTGGTCAGAGATTACATAGTCAAATCATTTATGGCTGCAGATACAGAGAAGTTGTACTTGTTGCCATATAATACTGACCATGGGTTAGATTTCATTCTAAATTTATTTATTATAATTATTCATTTTTTGCCATTCTATATAACATTTCCGTCTAAACTTGTCTTATTTTACAGTGGACACTGGTTGTTGGTCGCGATTAATCTGATGAAAGAAATAGTGTATTATCTGGATTCATTGGATGGTGATCACACAAAATATCCTGATATGAAAACTACAGTTGATACGTAAGTGATGAGATATACTGTTCTGAATAATCATCTTTATTTATTAGGTGAGATTGTTCTAAATATTCATTTATATTATGTCAGAGCTATATAAATATTTCGATCGCAAAGAGAAGCAACAATGCCAAAAAGGAAGGCTAACAACATTAGATGGATCAGAGTGCATGGATATTTTCACATTTTTTACTGTTATAGTGATTTTACTTGATAAAACTATTTAAACTATATATTCTCATAAATGATCGTTTATTTTTTCCATTTACAATGTCCTCGTCAGCGCAATGAGATTGATTGCGGATATTTTGTATTGCGCTTTGTGAAGGAAATTATTCACTCGGGTCAAATAGATATTCCAATCATGGTATGGATCAATTCATAAGTTATACGATTTATTTTAATAATTAATCGATATTTTATCTGAGTAATAAATTTTAAAACTAAATCGTGCATGTTTTGTTATATTATGTAGTACTTTGATGAATTCAAGTGTGGTACTTACTCGAAAGCAGGATTGGAAGAAATTAAGAAGGAATGGTGTCAATACATTCTTGAGTTGAGAATTGTATAAGGTATATGTATCGTCAAATATTGATGTGGGATAGTAATATTTCTAGAAGTCGTATCTATTTGTAAAGTTATCGGTTTTGTAATTATATGTAAATTGACTGTATTTGTGAAGTTGTTCTGAGGATCGGATTGTGTTGAATTATATATAAGCAGGTTTATGTGAATTACAATGATTATGGCCAAAGTGTTGAATTACAGTGTATATATAAGGTCAAAGTGTTGAATTAAATGCCTGAATTATAAGCAGGAAATGTAATTGTTATAGGCCAGTTTATCGGGAAAAAAATAAAATAAATTAAGTGATTATTTAAAAAAAAAAAATGTTGATAAAGGGGGAAAAAAGCTGCTAAAAGTGTTGCTAAAGGGGAAAAAGCGCTGCTAAAAGTGCTGTTAAAGGGGGCCTATAGCAGCGTTTTTCCATAAAAAAAAAAGCGTTGTCTTTACCTTTAGCAGCGCCACTTTAAAAAGCGCTGCTAAAGAGGGAAAAAAACACTGCTAAAGGTCTTATTTAGCATAGTGTTCGTTTTTGAATCAGACTCCAATTTTATAAATACATTTATTCAAAAAATATATCTTCGAAAAAATTCTAAAAATATATTTCCAAAAACAACATTTTCACCTTTTTAAAATGCTACTCGCTCTCCCTACCTAAATACTACTATAAATACTACTATAAATAATAATAATAATAATAATAATAATAATAATAATAATAATAATAATAATAATAATAATAATAATAATAATAATAATAATAATAATAATAATAATAATAATAATAATAATAATAATAATAATATTATTATTATTATGTCAATTGATATCTATCTATAAACTATACTACATATGTCTCACAAAAATTAAAAACAAGATATGAATTGATAAAGTATAATAAAAGATTTTATTGAATTAATTTATTAACCGATATATTTCAATCACATAAATTTGTAGTGAAAAAGTTATTTCTAAAATAATATACGGATGATCAATTAAATAATATAATTAAAATGATAATATTTATGAAAAAATATTTTACAAATATATATATATATATATATATATATATATATATATATATATATATATATATATATATATATATATATATATATATATATATATATATATATATATATATATATATATATATATATATATATATATATATATATATATATATAATTTTTAAGTTGAAAGAAATTATTTGTGACTATTAATTATTCCTTCTATTTATTTGTAGATATTATTATTTTTTCTTTTTATACATATTAATATTATATAATACGTAAATTTAATTATTTTTTATTTTTATTTCTTTCTTTCTCTATGGTAAATAACTTAAAAGTTTTTTTAATTCATTTATAATTAATAATATATTAAATTCAATAAACAATAAAATATATTTAAATATAATAAATAGGAAAAAAAATGCAAAGGGAGAGCAAGTATTTTATTATTATTATTATTATTTTATTATTATTATTATTATTTAGGGAGGGAGAGCAAGTAGCACTTTTGAAAAAGTAAAAATGTTGTTTCAAGAAATATTTTCTGGAGTTATATTTCAGTGTGAATATATGAATATATATATCAATATTTGGTAATAGATTCCAGATATTTTTTTGAGATATATTTCAGTGTGAATATGTGAATATATATCAATTTTTGATAATAGATTCAGGTGGTTCAGTGGTGATGGTAGAACAATGAGCAGAATAGATATATTTTTTGGTGGATGTGTCTATCGTTGATAGATGGGGTTGGTGGGGCAAACTATTGGTAAGAGATATATCTGACTATTGTGGAGATCAGGAAATGATATTGAAGTAGGGAGAAGAGGTAAATACGGAAATTATAGTTTTTATATCTTTCAAACTATATAACAATTTACACATTTTGAGGATCCTTACTCATATCCCCTAACCTAACTTCGTTAAAACAGTTATGGTTAAACACAAATTTATTTTACACTTCAGAAGAAAAAATCATGTTCATAGGAGATTCAATAAGTTACAACCCCGCAGTCAGGGTTTTTAAATCAGAATAGATGGAAAAAAATGTAACTAAATTAAATAAATCATGAAACCTACGTAAGCTCAATTGGCAAAGCAATATCATGATGTATCATCACTCTTTCAACACTTTCCTTCGCATAGTTTATTTTTGAAAGGTTTGCTTTCTTCATGTAGCTTGCGTTTCTTACTGTTATTCTGTTCAGGTTCATATAGATGAACATACTTGGTCACGAGTCTATAGAAAAATCAATTTTCATATGAAAACTAAATGAAAAAATCAATACCTGAGTCTCCATCAGCAATGTCTTATTCACGTAGATATTCTCCAGCTCTTTAAGTCTATTCTTGCTTTCTTTCAATTGTTTATTCGAACTATTAATTTTCCTGTATATGAAATTAGATAACTTTGTTTATACTCCAAAAACATATTTCAAACAATAACCAACAAGCAAAAGAAATACAAACCTTTCAGTATAGAAAATAGTTTGAGAATCAATGGTAGTTTTTAACTTTTTGATTTTCTGCGAGAAAGACCAACAAAAAAACTCACAAGTAAGCAAATCAATATTTTTTTTTGTTAAACAACAACTTTATAATAAAAAGAGAGAAATGACTAATCCACCTTTTTCTCATCGTCAATCTTTTGAAGAATTGGTTTCATCTCATTGTTTTTTGTCACATGGTGTATTATGTCTTGATTTTTCCTATGAACTCCATCGACGAGTCTTGATGAAATCATCTTAAAGGAAAATTCATCTGGATTTCTATTCAAAGCTTTTTCCTTAAGTTTCTGTTAATTGATCAAATAAGAAAATAGTTATTTATAAAAGAAAAATTTTACCATTACATTTAGAAACTAAACTTGTAGCACACCCGAATTGTATCTTGCTTTTTATGAAAGGCTTTAGCACGAATGACATAGTCTTTATGCTTTTCGAGCACACCACATCGTTCTCTCGAAGCCCTAACATTTTAAAAAAAAACAAAAAATTGAAAGAGAAAAATAGAGTATCAATTGCATTTATGGTAAAGTATGAGAGTTCCTTACGGTTGAGCACGCTCTTTGTAATTACGTCTCGGAATGATGTTTCTCAGGGACGACATGGCGGTGCCCTCGAAATATGAATTAGATGTTGGCAGCTAGGACTTCAGAGGTAAGTGTGGGATACTGTCTTTTTATAAGGGGAATTTGGGCCGGGCCGGGCCAAACCAGAAACATAATAAAGTGATATGGATTAGGTTCAGAGACGAGGCGGTTTGGATGCATAACAAAATTTTCAAACTAAAAAATGACCTATTTTGAGATAGAAAAAGTAATTAAATTTGCATAAAACAAAATAAAAAATACAAATTTATAAAATTATATTGCATACATTAAAATACCACTCATATTCAAATTTTCAAAGTAAATGAAATCATACACATACACACAAATAATGTTTTCTACTAAAAAATGATTTCATCTTAATATTAAATTCAAATCACGAAAAAATTTGCAAAATTTTTAAAATTCAACTTCACCAAATTTGTAAATAAAAACAAAAAGATATATAACATAATAACCAAATGAATATCAATTACGTTTAAATTGCATATTGATTACTAATTTAAAAATATTAATTAATTATCACTTGAGTTTAAAGCTTATATATTTTCAATAAAATACAATTAATCTTTTTTTTAAACTATAAACGGATTCCAAACATTAAGGAATTCTTAAAACTGATTTTATTGATGTTGATTTGATTGCAACAAACTTAAAAATAAAAAAATAAAAAATTTAAAATGTTAATCAAACTTTATATAGAAAATATATTTTTTTGAAGAATTAGCAGATTCCTGAGATTAAAATTATTTATGTTTTAAACTTATATGGATAATTAATTAAAAATTTTAAATCAGTAATTAATATGTGATTTAAAAGATTAGGTTGAATGAGAATTAACTTGTTTCGCATAAATATGTGAGTGCAGTATTCCATTATCATTCAACTTTACATCGTCAACATGAAAATTAACGAGCAAAGGAAAACTTTTACGACACCGCTTCTGGCTAGGAAAAAGAAGAGAATTTGTGTGAAATCTGTTCAACAACAACAAGAGCAATCTCTTTCTTCTACAGAATCTGAATTTTACTTGCCAGAAGATTGCTGGGAGCATGTCTTCTCATTCATCATCAATCCACTCGACGACGGATCCCAACACATCAAATCCCTATCTCTCGTCTCAAAACACTTCCTCTCCATCACCAACCGTCTCCTATTCTCTCTCCGAATTTATCATCCACAACTTTGTTTTCTCTATCGTTTCTTCCATAGATTCTCCAACCTTAATTCCCTTGACCTCTGGTTCAGCTCCCGTGATCTCCATCCAGACATTGCTTTGGCTCTCCGTCACAGACCAACCTTGAAATCTTTATCTATTTTTGGGATTGACCTAAAGGATCCAAACTATGTTACTTCACAATACATTGATTCCTTTGTGAGTTTGAAGAGTTTGAATTCTCTTAAGTTTCATTGTTCTCAAATCTCTGATGATTTGCTCTACTCTTTTGCAAGACAAGGTATTTCTTTCAAGAGTTTTGTTCTTAAAAATTGTACCGGCTATAATTACGGAGGAATTTATGGTTTATTATCTAAGTGCGGTGCGATACAACATTTGAGTCTGCAAGGGGTTGACTTTCTAAATAATCATCATGTTTTCCAGCTCTCTTTGCTTCTTCCTGGTTTGATATCTATAAACCTTAGCCAAAATTCCAACCTCACTGAATTAGCTTTATTTGCACTCATTAAGAATTGTCATTCACTTAATAAGATAACAATGAAAAGCATATATAATATTGGAAGAAAGAGTATAGAAAATTCTGATATTATCAAGGATTTTAATGTCAACCCTCAATTAAAGTTTCTACATTTTTATAACAATTTTTTCATAAAAGACGAGATCCTCATATTGTTTGCTTCGATTTTCCCTAATTTGCAGCTTCTTGATTTAACTTTTTGTGATCAAATATCTAAAAAAGCTATTTGTCAAGTTTTAAGTAGATGTTATGAGCTTAGACATCTAAATTTGGATCATTGTTATCGTGTGAGAGGACTTAAAATGAATTTTACAGTTCACCAGTTAGAGGTGTTGGATTTAAGTGGTACAAATGTTGATGATAAAACACTCTATGCGATCTCAAAGTGTTGTTTTGGACTTCTGAAACTATTATTGACATTTTGCGATTACGTCACGGAAAAGGGAGTGATACATGTGGTTAAAAACTGCACGCAATTGAAAGAGATCTATTTGATATTGTGTGATAAATTGAATGTTGATGTTATTGTCTCAACGTTTTCATCAAGGCCATCATTAAGTGTGTTTTCATGAATGTCATCATTACATGTGTTGGGATAAAGTGAATGCTGAAATTGATATCTCAATGCTTTCATCAAGACCATCATTCACATCATTTTTGTTTTAGTGACATAAAAAAAACTGTTCTAGTTAGGGTTGTCTTTTGCTAGGTATGGATGTATTATTTGTTGAAGTTTTGATTATTAAATAAAAGATAGTTTTTGTTTTTAGATTTGTTTCATTTGTTTGTTATTTTGTCGAATAATCATTTAAATAAAGTTAATTTTTTATATTAAGTTTTAAATTTTGATGTTTCTCTTTCATCTAACTTGAATTATATTAATATTTTTATATGCAAAAGATTTTTATTATTATTAGTGACAAATTATCATATCAATGATCTAGGAGCAAGAAACATAATACAGACAAATAATTATTAGAAGTGTAAATGAAATTTTTTACACAAAACACAGATTGCATCATACTACACATTTTAGATTCAAGATAATTATTAGTATTCTCTTAAAAAGAAGAAAAAAAATATGACATAGTGATATAATCTAACATAATCTATTCTCTGTTATGATATAATGACATGTGCAAGTGTGTTTGTAATTCTGCATATTGACTTAATATGAAACTAGCGTTCAGAAGGGTACTCGCGTGCCCGTCTGTCCGCTTTTTTAACGCGCATTAATGAAAATATAAACGGTATTTTTTGTTTAAATAAAAATTTTAAAAAATACGATATGTGAAAATTAATAATAAGAAGTTACGTAAAAATGATAGAAAAATAAGTCACACCAAAACAAAGTATTCCCTTTATATATAATTATAGATTAACAATGAAATGTGAATGAATGAGACTTACTAAATATAATGAATGAAACTAACATCTGCTCTTATGAGTTTTATATTTTCATCATCAAAGAGCTGTAGTATATTTTCAGTTGCTATTATATAATAATTTTTTCTTTGCATTTTTTTTCAAGTTGACAAAAGATATGTTATACGATATCTGCTTTCATTAATTGACCTTATATGAATGTATATATTACATTACAAGTTAGATTAAATCCTTATGATCATTGCAGTAACAACACAATTGATAAGACCCTGTGCACTGTTGGCCTTGACCATGGTTCACTAGCAGCATGACTTTGAGATATTATAAGGCCGGAAAAGTCAAGTTAAAGTATTAATATTATTTGGAGTAATTGAAATGAGCAGGGAGTGTTTGAAGTTTCTCTGTCCATTACTATCAATGTTTCTATTTGCAAATTGGCATCTTTATTTGACTAATTACTATTATTGATTATAATGTTTTGGATACGGCTATAAATTTTTGATTTGTTATTTTTTTAGCCAAACACTTGGATTAGGATTTTGTTTGAAAGCTATAAATTTTATTATTATTATTATTATTATTATTATTATTATTATTATTATTATTATTATTATTATTATTATTATTATTATTATTATTATTATTATTATTATTATTATTATTATTTATTAAAAATATTTAATTTTCTACTTTTTAGTTGTGATGTTAATTTGGGTTGTTAATTTTTAGCCGTGTGGGTTAAATTTTTTTAAAGCAATGAATTTATTCAATTATTATTATTTACAAAAAATATTTTATTTTCTATTTTTTATCCACATGGGTTTTTTAAAAGTAATAAATTTATTTAACTAATGTAATTATTAACTTATTACTCTTGTTTATTATCTAAGTGTGGTGCGATACAACATTTGAGTCTTCAACGTGTTGACTTTTTAAATAATCATCATGTTTTCCAGCTCTCTTTACTTCTTTCTGGTTTGATATGTATAAACCTTAGCTAAAATTCCAACCTCACTGAATTAGCTTTATTTGCACTCATTAAGAATTTTCATTCACTTAATGAGATCACAATGAGAAACATATCTAATCTTGGAATAAAGAGGGTACAATATTCTGATATTATGAAAGATTTTAATGTCAACCCTCAATTAAAGTTTCTACATTTATATAACAATTCATTAATAAAAGACGAGACTCTCATATTGTTTGCTTCGATTTTCCCTAATTTGCAGCTTCTCGATTTAACTGTTTGTTCTTTCATAAAGGTATTTGTCAAGTTTTAAGTAGATGTTGTGAGCTTAGACATTTAAACTTGAACCATTATTATCGTATGAGAGGACTTAAAATGAATTTTACAGTTCACTAGTTAGAGGTGTTGGATTTATCTAGTACAAATGTTGATGATAAAACACTCTATGCGATCTCAAAGAGTTGTTTTGGACTTCTGAAACTATTATTGACATTTTGCTATTACGTCACGGAAAAGGGAGCGATAAGTGTATTTAAAAACTGCCCACAACTGAAAGAGATCTATTTGAAGTGGTGTGATAAAGTGAATGTTGATGTTATTGTCTCAACGTTTTTATCAAGGTCATCATTAAGTGTATTTTCATGAATGCCATCATTACATGTGTTGGAATAAAGTGATTGCTGAATTTGATTTCTCAATGCTTTCATCAAGGCCATCATTCACATCATTTTTGTTTTAGTGACATAAAAAAAAAAAACTCTTTTTGTTAGGGTTGCCTTTTGCTAGGTATGGGTGTATTATTTGTTGAAGTTTTGTTTCTTAAATAAAAGATAATTTTTGTTTTTAGATTTGTTTTATTTGTTTGCCATTTTATCGAATAATTATTTAAATAAAGTTAGTTTTTTATCTCAAGTTTTAAATTTTGATGTTTTTCTTTCATCTAAATTGA